AAGATGAATATGTATAAAGATGTAATTACCGTAACAATGTATTCAATACATGTTCAATTTAGCACTATTGGCACATCAGTATCATTGTGCTCCATTAACCCGATTATTTTATTGTGATGGATTTGTATTATTATATGTATAATTTAAAGACTTCATTGACTTTATGACAATGCAATGTGATGGGCTTATTTTTATTATAAGTTTAAGTAAGCTACTTCTGCTTAGCCTCTTGAAAATGAGAAAATCATTGTTTGTTGTTATAGTGCACATATTGTTTACACCGAGAATGTAACAAGGGAGTACCAATATGGCGGCCGATGGCTTCACTTCAACCCTGTACTACCAACAGGCGATCAGCAGTCCAGTGAATAGATAGAGATCAGTGATCTTTGCTAGCAGATCTCTCAGCTTCGCTAACCAGAGTCCTGCTGCCATCTTGTTTCTGGAGAGAGGAGGCTTTCTTCTTCAAACCTTCCAGACGGGTTCAGGATCATGACCTTTAACCTGTAGAGTCTGAGTGGAAGCTTCTGGTTTTCTCTAATCATCATTCTGGTGTTTTTTCTCTTGACCCGTGGACAGTGATGTTAGCAGCTAGCTAAGAGAAAATGAAATCAAAACAAACAGCCGTTCACTGTGATAAGATGTGCTTTTATTGCAATGTCCACTTAAATAAAATATCGTAAATTACTTCTCCAATAAAGACAAAGGATTTAGATTTTTAAGACAAAGTGGTGGAGCTGTATTTAAGGTGTTTAACCTCGGTAACAGCTTAGCTAAACTCTAAAACAACCATCAGAAACCTTCAGTTTGAGTTCAGACGTGTTTTTTGCTGTACGGATTTGAACAGTGTTGTGATGTTTCACAGTGTCGGCAGTTATTCTAGATGATTTTCTTATTAACGGAGGAGGTTTTAATGCTGCTGTTGTTGCAGGACGTTTTTACTGCAGTCTAAATTCTTGTTTTTTTATCATGATTTCCTCCAAAAACACCAACAGTTCTACTGCCTCAAACAACTGCTGTTTCAGTCTAAAGCAAGGTGACTGCAGCTTGATTTTATTTGGTTTTAATGAATCAAATACACAGGAAAGAAGGGTTTTGATAGCACAACAAATTATTGCTTGACTTTATGAGCATCAGGAGCGCTCAGGGAAACGGTGTGTGTTTCTGTGTGTACATTTATGTACGAACCAAGTGTTTCTGAATGGGCCTGTTGGTACCGGTGCTGGACTCATCCTGAACCTCCATCTGTCGGACGCCCGTCCTCCCAGACCTTCAGCCCAACATGCTTCACAAGTTCAGGCAGACCCCAGAGGAATGGTCCTCCACCGACCAGTGGGATCTGCAGTCACTGGTTTTACTGTGCTTCCCTGGTTATGTTGACTAAGATAAGGAGATGCTAATGTGAACCTGAACATTTTTCTGGGGATATTTTGGAACAATAAACCTCTTGGCAGTTTTTCTTAAATCTGATATTCCTAGACCGATCAGTCTATATTTGTACCAAAGCCTTATATAAGAGCGCCCTGTGGAGGACGTCCGAGGAGGATCTGCACACACTCAGATGCCTCTGGTTCGGTTTGATCTGATCAAGGATCATAGCAGAGTTGCACACATTTAAACTACAGCCCTTTGCCTTTTATTAGAAGATTGGAAAACCTCTGACTTCGCTCCAAAATCTGCCTTTTCTCTTAATAAAGGATAAAAATCGAATTAAATGAAAGTAAAATTATAAAATATTTTCCAGAGCAGTCTCTCAGACGGAGGAGCTCGGTCCCGTCGCCTGCTCACAGCAGGACGCAGGGCCTCTTGTTGACTGTGGGCTGTGGGTTCAGGTAGGACCTCACGGCCTCGGCAAACACCTCCTTAATGCCATCCTGGTTCAGAGCAGAGCACTCCATGTAACGCACGGCCTGGATCTGCTTGGCGAGGCTGGCGCCCTGCTGGTTGGTGATGGGCGCCTGGTTCTGCTCCTTGAGTTTCTTCTGGATCTCAGCGTCATTCCTGAGGTCGCTCTTGGTACCAACCAGGAGGATGGGAACGTTGGGACAGTGGTGGGACACCTGGAAAGAAAAGTATTACTATTAACTACCAAGCTGTAGCCTAAACAACGATTCAGTCCAAAGTTCCTAGAAGTCCGTATCTAGGCTTCGATTTGCCTCAATTCCTGTAAACTCTCCTGCACCCTCACCATGCTCAGACCGCACCCAAGTCCTGGTCTGGAACATCTGGATGCAGGACGAGATTTGAGGCTCGAACCACACATAAATCCCATCTTGAGGTGGCCGGAGCCTCAACATGGCACAGACGTCTTGTTGGCTAATCCATTGCCTCGCTACATAGTGTTGTTCAAGACTTTCAAGGTGCTGATAGAGGACCTGAGACGCCAAATAAGGCTCTAGGTGCATCCCTAAAGACCTCACCAAGATCATGAGGAGAGGTGTCTTTTCCAGTGTAAAGAGGTCCTACAGAGGCCTTCCTGAACTACTATGATCCTCCGGCAGAAATAATTTTCTTTGTGGACAAACAGATATATGAGTTAAAACAGAAAACCTAATGTCTAGAAATGAAAAAAGGCTTGACCTTTAACATCCCCCTCACCTCCTCTGGGGTAAGTCTGAGGCACTCCAGTGTCTCTTCAGCTGACTCCTGTCAATGTGGAGGAGAAGCGACTATTCATAACCTCTCGCTGATGACTGAGCTTCTCACCCTGGTTCTTAGAAAGCTCCCCCAACCGTGCGAAGGAAGCTAATTTCAGGTGCTTGTACTCATGACCATAGGACCATAGTAGGAAGAAAGACTGACTGCATTACAGCAGCAGCTGCAAAGACCCCTTGGTCCATCTCCTGCCCGTTCTTGCATCACTTGTAAACAGTACTCCAAAATCCAACTTCTCAACTTAAGGCAGGAACTCTCCTCTACCTGACGAAGTTCAAGCAACCGTTTTAAGTCAAAAACTTCGACCTCATACTTGGAGTTACAGATCTTCGTACTGGAGGGAGCTAGCAGAGCCACGTCATCTACACAAAGCTGAGACAAAATCCCCTGGTCCTCCAACGAGACACCCCATGGCCCTGAAAGTCATGTCCATGTAATGAAGAAGACTGGCAACAGGGGGCAGTGTTGCTGGCATTAAGTCTGACCTGTTTCCTTTTACATCTTTTTAAGGCAATAATGCTGTACAATGACCTAGCCACTTGAAATGGCCTTTGAACTTTTCAGAAAGATAAAGACTTCTTGGTTCAGCTTTTCTCTTCTCTTCTCTAGAAGACTTTGTTAAGGTGACCATAAACCAAAGCCAAACAATTGGACTTGAAACAGCTACAGTTCATCAATAACTGTTTATAAAGACCTTCAAAAGTCTGGAGGAACGATCTAAACCAACTTCATCTAAGTTTAAGAACCGTACTGTACCACAAATCAGTACAGACCAGAACATGACCTGAAACTCTTAACGTCCAAAATCTCATCGAATGGTTCTGAATCCAATGGTACGTTACTTCATGGAGATACAAGTTTATCATTTTGACATCAACCAAATGACCTCCAGTGTTCTCTGCATCTATCTGTAGTGGTATGACCTCTTACCTCTGGGTGCCACTTGTGTTTGACGTTCTCGTAAGAAGCAGGGCTTGAGATGGAGAAGCAGATGACAAAGACATTGGTCTGAGGATAAGACAGCGTCCTCAGCCGGTCATACTCCTCCTGGCCTGCCGTATCCCACAGGTTCAGGCTGATGACTCTTCCGTCCACCGTCACCTGAAGGCACCGAACGTAGAACAAAGGTAAGTGACTGTAATTTGCCGAGACAACATGCTTCTCCTCATCCGATTTTAGTCGCTAATAAATACTAAACACATTGAGGTTTGGTTTCTGTCAGAATAGCTAAATCCTTTAGGTCCAAACTGATCTGCCTGAATGGGTTTACTGGACATGCTGGAGGTCTACATCCCAGGTTTCAAACATTGTTGCTCTGTTGCTAAAATATTTCTTTGCCGTAGCAAACAATCATCATGAAAGCATTTGGGGAGGAGATGCTTATCAGGACCTTTTTACATGAAGGTCAGCTCAGAAATGGACTGGTGAAATTGGTGGGAGGCAGGTGCAGAGCTGCTGCTTCCAGGATGCCTACTCAGGGTCCAATCCAGGAGTTCCTACACTTCCCTCTGAGCTGGGAGCCAAGGATGGGGCCTCCAACTAAACCTGAGCTACCTAAAGAAGCTGGATGGAAGTTAGAAGTGATGTGACCTCGACCACCGATGGTCAACAACCAGAAAACGACTCAAGGCATTTTAGAGGGACCATCTAACCTGAAGTAGACCTGAACTGAGGTGGGAACTGGAGGTCTTTGTTTTAAACAACAGACCTGGACTCTTCCAGATGTTTATGGGGAGTGGTGGCCTAGTGGTTATGGCATAGAGCCTGGAATCCTGAGGTTCTGAGTTAGAGCCCCACTCCCACAGACTGCCACTTACGGTTTCTGTGCAAGACCCTTAACCCCACACTGCTCCCTGGGTGCCCCACAATGGCATCCCTTTGCCCCCTAAGGGGATGGGTTAAATGCAGAGGGACGTTTTTGTGGTGTGTTGGCCTAGTGGTTTAGAGCACTGCGCTTGTGCTCTGAGAAAGATGCAAGTACCCGGTTCGATCCTCACAGCCTCCACTCTGGGTTCCTGAGCAAAACCCTTAACCCCAGACTGCTTCCCGGACGCTGCAAAATGGCGGCCCACTGCTCCCAAAGGTGATGGATTAAATGCAGAGATAAATTTCTACAATGTGAGATCAATAAAGTTAAATTATTATGATTATATTGACGGATAAGCTTTAAACTTTGCGTCTGATTAGCCGTGTGGTAAAAAGCATGGCTCATGTGACGCCTCGCTGATACTGTGGTTGATATCTAATGAAGTCCACATGCTTTGATGACGGTTCACTGCTACTGGAGTCACTGAACACTGAATGAGCTCTTCAGCCAAAGAAAGCTCCTGCTGAGAGCTGCTGGGATGTCCCACCAGCAGCCGCCGCCTGATTCAGTGACATTGTGTTCAATGACCCACCTGGCTGCTGTAGTTGTCGAACACAGTGGGGATGTACTCCTTGGGGAAGGCTCCGGTGGTATAGGAGATGAGGAGACAGGTCTTTCCCACGGCACCGTCGCCCACGACCACACACTTCACAGTCTGCATGGTGGAGCCGTCAGAAACCTGCAGACAGAGAGCAGAGGGTGGGGCTGTGACCCAGCAGGTTTCAGCTCACACATAATCTTCACGCTGCCCCACTGCGCCGCTCGCAGTTATTTTTACATCACTCGCCTCTCTCTAAGCTCACTTCCTGTTTTCTGCGGAGCTGAAGTCTCGATGCAGAAAAACTCACGGTAGATAAGATCAGCGGGTCAAACGGCCTCCAGCTGCTGTCAGAGGCTTCATGACCGCCCGTTGTCTGTCTGCCTTCTTCATGTCTACTTCTATCAGGCCCTTTATTCATTGTTGGATATATGATATTATTTAGTGTCAATTTTAGCTCAGTTTCTATGTGTTTTAGATCTATTTAGTGCAGGAGAGTCCAGATTGAGACCCCCAAACAACAGGCGTCATTTAGACGTTGGTTTTTAGGCTAAATCTGGTCGTTCCATCATTTCGTCCAGAAATAGTTGTTGAAAATTGGGCTGTGTTTGGTCAATCTGGTTTTGTCCCACTTTGGTCCAATGAAAGACATTGAAAAGACGTCCTATTAACAATCTGAAAATTACGTCTTTTCGCCTTTCCTTTTTCAACCAAATGTTGAAAGAGCTCCAAGATGCATCCCTTCTCCATCACACCTGAATCAGATTAACAAATTGATTTTCTGGATTCAGGTGGAGCAGCTTGGACGTGGACAGCCCTGGTTTAGTGTCTCATTGTCCTCATTCGTCTTCATGCTTGGTCATGTACTTTTCTGATCCTATTGTTTCTCTTTCATGTTTCATATCATGTTCCCATCAGTGGGGTGTTCAGAGGTAAAAATAGACCAATACTTTGGCAGCCGCATTGGTTTCTAAGGTTTGATTAGTTAATAAATGTTTATATTTTCTTGGTTATAATTTGTTATTGTGTAAGTTTTATCATGTGAATGGAAGAAAAGCAATATCAGCTTAAATATCAGCGACACATATCATATGACCGAAATGATAGTGGTGGGTATCAGTATCGGTGGCTCTCTAATCAGAGGTCTTCACATTTTTAGTGTTTGCGTTTGCAATACAGGCGAGTTTTAAGGCGTTTACCTTCAGTGGCTCTTCTCAGGGAGGGGATGGTCGTATCTCTGTGGCTATTTGAGATGCTTCAGGTTCTTCTGGTCGACACAAATTGCTCAGAAACACGTGACGTCCATGTTCTGCCTGCAGGATGATGTTCTGCATCAGTATTTGTGTTTATGGAAATAATGGCTGCGAAAGGAAACGGTGTCTAAACAAAGCAGAGATGTTATCCTGCTCTCCCACACACACACATTTGCATCGCAGCTTCTACACATTGGACTTTTATAGGCCACACATACATGCACACCCCCCTACACACACACAGACAAAGCTGCAGTGTTTTATAAGGAGGATAGGAACCAGTCCGACTAACAGAGGAAGAACCGATGAATTCTGGTTGGCTGGTTCTGTCCGTCCCACTCCTCTTTCTGAGTCTATAAACCTGGGGTTTTGTTCGGGTAAGGAGGTTCATGCTGTGTCTTATATTTGAGGCATTTGGACCAATCAGACGTCAGGTTACCTTCAATTATTTAATTACACATTTTACCTGTATTTTTAATTATTTAACGGGACATTCAATTATTGAATTGTAAATTTTATTCTTACATATTTGAATCACATTATTACATAATACATAAATGCTAATTCAATTTATTTTATGGTTAATTTTTGCCCTCCATTTATCTCAGGAGTCACATCCAAATGAGCCAATTGGTGTCCTGCGACCCCCAGGGGGTTCCCAACCCCCGTTTTTAGAACCCCTCATGCTCTGAGTCATCAACAGAACAGTGATCCAATCGGATGATGGCCTAGTCAAAGCCCAGACTGAAGGAAGCTCAGTGAATTGAAGCAACATTAGAGCCAAAGCTTGTCAGATGGGTTCTGAGAGGTTCTACAAGCTTTTGGAACCGATTTTCTGCATCTTTTTTCTCTGACTGGCCATGTTTCAGACTCTGCTTTATGGTTTTAATAAAGTCAGGCTGCAGCATGAAGGCTGATAGGTTTGCTCCAGATGTGAGATGATGATGATGATGAGGGAGGCTCAGCCCAGACTCTGGGGACGTAGACTCCACCCTCCCTCTGCTCTCTGGGTGGAGGTCAGCTGATCTCACTGCTCTGATCATTCTACCGTCAGGCTCCTCAGAACCGAAGCAGCGAGGAAGAATCTGATCTCTGGTCTTCATCTCAGAGCTCCACGACTCTGCGACCCAGCCCTCAGGGGACGGTTCCTGTCCCAAACCCATAGGTTGTTTCTAGCCCTTTAAATGAATTACCAGTCATTGTCTGAAATCAGCAGCTCTGAGGACCAAAGACACATTTCTGAGGTTTTTTTTTAGCGGAACAAAGGAAAACTCAATGAAATGAATGAGTTCACTCAAACCTGAGAACAGGTGAGTCAGACGGATCGACTCATCTTTCATTCATTCAAACTGTTGAAAGTCCTTTACTTGTTTTTGCAGAGTTGTAACCAGGTTAAGCAGCCAGCAAAGGAACGAAAGGAGGAGGTTCTGTCTGACTGAAGGTAAACAAACTGTGAAACTGCTGATGGGAGGTTTCTTGTGTCGAAGAACCATGAGCTCGTTTTAACTTCCTGTTTCAGAGGCTCAGTGAACTCAGCCTGAGGTGGAAGTTGGAGAAAAGCAGGTGAGTAACCAGTCTCAAAAACCATCACAGACTGGTTCTGAGCAGCCTGTCATCACTGCTTCCTGTCAGCTCCGTCTTTTTATCGTCACCTCTCAGATCCACCAAACATCTGATCCCAATGATTGGGAATTTTCTCCTGGATCTCAAGGTACATCTAGAATAGGATAGCACCTAATCTGTAGCCTTGACTTAGCCTGTAGTTAGGTGGAGCAACAGGAGCAATTCAGCCCCAACTGGACAGAAACATCTCAATTAGATGAGGTCTTTAAGCGCATCACTGTGCCTGAAATATAGATGTTACAAATTGATGATTGACTGACTGAGAAGCAGCAGAGAGAAATAAAAAACAGTTGAATCAGCAGTCAGAAATAGATCCCTGCTCACCCAGCGTAGAGCTGTGATCAAAGCTGTGATCTGACTGAAAACTCCACTGACTATCTTAAAGCTGCAGTGGCTCAGTAGCCAAATAAAAACCCACTTCTTTAAACGTTTACAAAGAAAAGCAAGTTTGGAAATCAGTCTTAAGTTTGAGGTAACAGAAGAATCCAAACTGCTCTGCTTAAAATACAGCAGGACAACCTAAAAAAAAGGCTTTTAATAAAGTTTAAAATCCAGAAAAACTAAGCAAACTTCTTCAGTATCTGTTGGCAACAAAGAGCTGTGGTTTAGGAGGATTTCTGCAACCTGAGATATGGACACAGCTTCAATGTGACCTCAACCAGCTGAAGACAGGAGGCAGAGAGGCGGCCAAGGGAGGATCAAAGCCTGCGAGGATAAAACCTTTAAGAACCTAAAACACGACAAAACCGGTCCCCCAGGCCTGCTGGATCCAGCTTGGCTGTCTGTAGTCAGACAGAAATTTGATCCAATATTATTTAAAGGATAGAAAATGGTTCAAATTTTTGTTTTGAACAAAATGTTAAAAATTTTTTTAGATTGATTTAAAAAAAAAAGCTTTTATTTCCTTTTTTTAATAGATTTTCTCTGATTTTATTTATTCAAACTTTTTTAAGAGACTAAATTTTACTTACTGCTTTCTATTCAAATCACTTTTTAACCTATAGGCATTTAGATGGAAAATAATTTCTATTGGTCTCTGTGCGTTTAACTTGGACTTCAACGTTTTTACCTGAAACCACTCGAAGCTCTCATTAAAGTTCACATTATAAACAGGAGATTGATCCACATCATTTGTTTCCTCTAAGTATTTAAGGTAAAAACTCATCAAGACTTTTTAATTATTTGAAATTCAAACGATGGGAGTAGGACTTTGCTTGTTACCCGCCAGTCAGGACATGGGGTTTAACTTTTAAGACTTGAGACTTCCCTGTGACTTGGAGGGTCGATCCTGACTCTGTTCCCCTCTAGTAAAAGCTCCAAGCAAAAGCCACAGCAGTGTGTGAGCCTCCCGGCTCTCTGCTCTGGGCCCCATTCAGCTAGAGGACAACCTGACCAACAATGATTGCTACTGCCCCTCCCTGCATGTTCAGCTAATGTCCAGAGGTTATAAAAGGAAGAGCAGAAAGGTTCAAATCTTATAATGGCAAATAAGGAAATCCTTCAGTTAAAAAAGTGTGTTGCCATGGTTACTGAGGAAATAGAAATAGCAACCTTGGCAAATACTTGTCAAGACTGTGTCTGTGTCCGAACTTAAGCCCTATCCCTTATAAAGAGCACTCTAGAGGGGATAGGCCAATATAAATGAGTGTCTGAACGTCGAATCGATGAAACCATACTAGACTTAAAATGTCCCACAATGCACCTTAAAAAGTAGTGTGCATCCATGGTCACTAGATGAGCAGATATATCCCATGATGCCTTGCAAGAGCTCTCTTTGCATAGCATCATGGGATTTGTTTTAGGGGCGGGAGAGAACAAAGATGGAGCTGGCAGGAGCCTGAGTCACATGACCAACAGGGAGCGAAAAGTAGTAATCATCGTCCAATGGGTCAGTACAGTGAATTACTATAAGGCCCCCTTTAAAGTGATGGAGGGGTTAGAGGTCAGGGCGGACGTTCGGACGCAGCCTGTAAGTCATTTTGGAAGAGCTCTGTTGAACTGTACGTCCTCTCACAGCCACTAGGGGCAGTGTGTAATGGTTCTCATGTCAAACAGTGATGTGGATCAGAGGAAGAGCGTTGCAATCTGAGAGTTGTAGGTTTTGTCTTTACCTGATCTGCACTGATCAACCATCACTATGCGCATGTGAAACAAGATATTCATCTAGGTCGTTCTTATTTCTATCCTTAAATCATCAGCTAATGCTAAGCTACGTCATTATACAAATGAAAGGCTTTTCTGAGAGAATTGGATGTATTTTAAATTCTCTCCCTCAGTCTCTCTTCTCAGGTGGGCAACATATAATTACACCATTTTTCTGCATTTTAGGTGTGTCTTTCTTTAGATTATTCACTATACACTGTAAAAGTACAACAAAATGCAAACATAGAACCTCAGTTATTTACAAATCCAAAGCCCAGAAAAAAATAAAGGAGCTGTAGGGCAGGATTCCCAAGACAGTTAAGGTACAGACAAGTGATAAATCATTACAGCGTACTTGTACTTATACATACACTTATAATTAGGGAGAGAAGACTTTAAACTACCATAACGGGCGTGTTTCCCTTTGATCATGTACAAAAAAACTATTTAAGGTCAGATTGCCATACGCTACAAAAAACACCATGGCCCTTTAGTCATGTTTTTTGTACAAGACAAAAGGAATACATGACAGCTGTGGTAGATAAAAGTCTATTTTTTGTACAAAACCAAAGGGATAAACAGATATTGTCTATAGGTATTCTGGTCAGACGGGGTATGCTAATCTGACCGAACACCAGCCAATGTATCAGTCTATTTCTAGTGCATACTTGATGCTACTACGACTACTAACCAGGCACAACCAGAACTGCATCTGTGAAATAAGTGAAATTGCCAGTTTTCCTTGTTAATAAGCAGGACTTATGCTGATTATCAGAACACACAAAATACTGGGAGGAGGATATGTAAACGTAATTATTTGCCACCTGAAATGGTTTTATCAAACAGGAAACTGATTTATGCTGCTATTCATGCTGTCCCACAGCATGATGCTGCCATCACCATTTTTCACTGTGAGGAGTGTTCAAGGTCATGTCAAGTATTAGTTTTTCCTCCTCTCTCTGCCAAAATTAACCTGACCCTTCAGCTGCTTCCAAGTGTTTTCTAATGTTCTCCATCAACTTCACAGAACCAGTATTGAGTTAAGAAAGATACCAGCGTCGTACTGTTTCTGTTTTTAATTAATCATATATCCTTTAAAGGGGTCATCATCTGGAAATCAGACTTTTTATGTTAAAATGTTTGTGTTGGTATTGGGCTTTCTGGATTTACCCCAATTCTGGAAGGATGCTAACGTTAGCCTGCTCTTGCTATCACCACTCCCATTTATATTCCACCAATCTGGGACTCACCTGCTGGCAGCTGGTAAGTCTTGCCACTTGTGAATGTTTTTTAGC